GGCGGCAGCTGCGCCAGGGCCGCGGTGCCACTCCCGGCTGGGCCGGGCCTGCCCGGAGAGGAGACACCGGCTGCGGGAGAGCTGACAGAGGTAAAGCAGGGACTCCCGAGTGCCGCCCACGCCCTGCAACAGCCGCTCGCCCCGCCCCGGCTCCGCCCCGCTCCGGATCAGCCCCGCCCCGGATCAGCCCCGTCCCCGGCGCATGCGAACTAGGTCTCTGCCCGGCCTCTGTGGGGACTCGCCTGCCCTTCGCAAAGGGCCGGGTGCCAAGCTGTATGGTCTAGTTATCCCAACGTTGGTACGCGCACCGCGGGAGCGCCCAGTCTCCGTGTGATCTCCCAGGGGTGACCCCTGTGGAGGACTTACTTCCACTCCACAAACCCCTTTAGGCCACCTTAAAAATAGGTATATGGTCTTCAGTGAGGATGGATGTCTCCATCTTTGGGAAGAGTGAATAAATAAAACCATCTTTAGGAAAGATGGCTATTTTTTAAAGCTTATATCCAGCAAAGTAAATAAAAATACTACTGTGTTTCTTATCGCTACGAAGTTTTTAAAGGAATTTCCTAGGTCGCTACCCTTCAGTCCCTACTGCATAGAATTCTGGAGGCACTTCTGATAAAGGGACCCTGAAGTTATCTGTGCCAGAACAGGAATCCTGTATCCATCATTTGGGTGGCTGGGTGGGGGATCTCAGGGCTAACTTGCTCACCATGACTTACAGCCCCCTGCGGCCGTAGGATGAATGTATTACACCCCAACAAAGAGAGACATTCAACCACAAGGCCAGCAGGCGTGGCCTGGTCCCTCTCAGGGGTCATCTCCTGACACCTTGTCGTTCACTGTGCTTCAGCCACACTGGCTTTCCCCCTGTGCCTCAGTTATGTCAAACACAGCCCCGCATGAGGGTCTTGGCATTTTCTGTTTACTCAGCCTAGATGTTCTCCCTCATCCAGCAAATCTAGCTTTTTCTAGGGGACAGTATGAGAGGGAGATGCCTGAGGTCATTTCTCAGGCAGGCCAAGGTCAGTCCAGGTCTCCTGCTGACCATTCACTCACAGCCCCTTGCACGTTCCTTTCTAAGTATCACCTACCTCACTGTGGAATTGGTTTTATGGCTACAAATATGATAGTAAGAAGGAGAAAGGGCTGCCCACAGCTTTAACTTAGGTTTATTGTCCTCAACACCCTTGTGCCAAATTTGTTATCTACTTGGCCCTGAGGATGTCTCTAACCTTAGTTTTCAAAATTTAAGAGTTTCACAGTCAGGCCTCCTTACAATGAACCATCCCGTCCCCTTCCCGTACTCAGCCTCCAGTCCTCTCCTTGGCCAGAGGCTGGGTCATTGAGAGAAAGGATAACACATTTCTTTCTGCTTCCCTGCTTCCTGGGTTTTCCTTTGTATCCTGTTCATGGCCTTACGTCTAGTTGATCCATCAAAGCTTCACTGGTAGGCCTTTCAGAACTATGACACTGATTTTAGGAAACTGTATTTTAATTAAGCTCTCAAAAAGCACAGGCTCTGAAGCCAGACAGCCTCGCTCAGAATCCCAGCCCCACTGCTTCCTAGTCGGTGTTCTGAGACAACAGTCATAGGATGAGACTAATACCAGTTCCTACCTCAAAGGGTTGATGTGAATTTACAAGAGTCAATACACATAAAGTGCTTAAGACAGCATCTGGCACCCGGTAAGCACACAATCAGTACATGTGTGAAGTTTCATTATTTACTCCTCCCAACAGCCCCAGAAAGGAGAGATCATTGTCTCCACCTCACAGGTGAGACAGCTAAGGATGGGGATGAGAACAGGATCTTCCCAAGGCCACACGGATGTCAGAGGAGGGACAGACTCGGGTCTCGGGCCCCTCCCTCTGGGGTACTGCCTTCTCCAGAGTCAGCACTGCAATTCCCTTCAATTCCCTTTATTATGTAAGCCAGCTCGAGTTGTGGTTTTTGTTACTTGCAATGAAAAGCATCTTAACAAATAAAAATATTTCAGGATTATGACGTTAGGAGCAGAAAAATTCATGACTCATAATTTCTTAATGGAGTATATTTTTATCATAAAATATCCTTCTTTGTCCTTGTTAACTCTTCAGTCGTTGAATTCTATTTTTCCAAATATTACTGTGGCCAGATCTACTTTCTTTTGTTGGTATTTATAAACATATCATTTTCTATCCTTTAATTTTCAACATATATTTGTCTTTTTCTTCCATAGTTGTCTCCTGGGGCAGGAAACAGCCTAATTAATCACCTCTTATCCCTTGTAAGTCCTTAATTCACTGAAGTCAGATTCAAGAAATCAGATGATAGAGCCAAGAAGACATTGACACAGAAACTAGATTAGTGGTTGCCTCGGGCTGGGCAGCAGGGGAGAAAATAGGGAGGCATGCGGAGTGATGGCTAAGGGTTATAGGATATTTTTTGAGAAAAAAATGTTCTAAAATTGTGGCGATGAATGCATAATTCTGTGACTATACTAAAAGCCTTTGAATTTACACTTTAAATGGGTGCCTTTCATGGCATGTGAATTAAGCTGTTAAATAAAGAAAATACGAATAAATAAAACAAGAAACAATTAGAAAACTAGAACTCTTAGAAATTTGATGTATTGTTGCCAAAACTTATTTATACATAAAAATATTGTACATAATATAAAGTATTATGTATATTATATATAAGTATGATATGAATTATACATAATATTATATAATTATTATTATCTACACTTATATATTTCTATGTATACACACGTGTCTATGTATAAGAAAATTTCCCACAATATGGCACAATAAAGAGGCAGAAAATATGAAAGAAGAAACCAAAAATATCAATCCATGAGGTTACAATGTAAGTCCAATAGAAGCTCCAAAAATATAGACAGAAAAAAAGGGACAGAAATAGGAAAATAATAGTAATAATAGGAGATAACTTCCCAGCACATGAGCCTTCAGGCCAGAAGGGCCCTCTGAGTGCCCAGCATAACGGATCAAAAAGACCCACACGACAGCAGCACAAAATTTCAGAATATCAAGAATAATGGAAATATCCTACGAGCTTCCAAAAAAGGTGGGTGCAGGGGGCATGCATTTGGCATCAGATGCCTCACCAGTAACTCTGGGTGCTGGGGGGAAAAGGAACACCACCTCTAAATTTGTGAGGAACATTAATTTTACACCTAGACATCTAGAACAAGCCAATGTTTAAAGGCAAAGTAAAGGTGTTTTCAGACATAGAAGGACTCAGGAGGTTGACCCTGCACAGAGCATTTCTCAAGAAGTTATTTGAGGCTCCCCTTCACCCAAATGAGGAGCTAATCCTTGAAGAAATGCTCCAGGAGGAAAAGGTGAGTCCACCCTAGGAGGTTACTGAATGGAAGCCGTTGCAGGAAGCCAATCCGCCATCTCACAGAGCAGGTGTGTCAAAGAGAAGGAGGAAAATGTTCAGGAAAAATCCGGAGACTGGGCAGCAGCCCCCTGCTGCCCCTCAGTGCAGAGGACTCACCAGCCTGGCCTCCGCGGACACCCAGTGTTTGTAAAGTATCCTTAGTGGGAGGCTGCTTTCCTATCACCGTGCCCCAGAGGGCAGAGCGTGGGGGAGTAACCCAGAGACGTGGCTACCCAGCTGGGTGACATTGTGTGGGTCCAGGACGGGCAGAAAAATAAAGGCAGTGGGTGTGTCAGTTAGCTGTTGCTGTGTAAGGAACCATCATCCTTCATCAACAACCCTCAGTGTTGCTCGTGATCTGAGGTGGCAGGGTTCTGCCCTTCTGAGCTGGGCTCTGCAGGGCTTGCTGCCATGTCAGCTGTGAGTCAGCCCTGAGTCAATGTGCGGCCTCGCTCCTCTCCGTGCAGCTTCCTAGCACATCTGGAGATTCAGCTGGGACAGCTGGGTGACTCATCCTGCAGCAGGCAGGGCCAGAGATCTCTGAGAGACAGGAAGCATGCAAGGCCTCCAGAGGCCTTGGCTGGGAACCAGAACACCTTCTCTTTTGTGACTTCCTGTCGACCAAAGGGCCAGAGAGAGGTACCCTGCCCTCCTAGTGACAGGACGGGCTGCAGTCCCATCACCGAGGACATGCACACAGGGAGGGGACAAAACCGGGGCTTCTTTTGCCAACAGTCTCCCACGGGGAAAGAAAACAAGGATTTCAGAAGGTAGCAGAAGGGGACCTCTCTTTCTCGGTGGGCTCTCTTCCTTTCCCCTGTGCACGGGGCGCGAATGGACCATTTCCTCCGGCGGCACTCCGGGTGTTCTGAGTCGTTCAGACTTTGCTGTGCTTCTTTCAGTGTTTTCCACACGTGGAGGAGCCTTTGGTCAGCCCAGCACGGGTCCCCTGAGCCAAGGGACCCACCAGAGTGGGATTCAGGTCCCGCTGGAGCAGAGACTCACTCTCCCGTCCTAGGCATGGAGGCAGCAGAGGGTCAGGCTGGGTCTTTCAATTGAAGGGAGAGCTGCACACCCCCGCCCGTTTCCTGGCCTTGATCTTTCCAGAAAGCAGCCGGGAAAGGTAGCGGGGAGGTCTGAGTCATGGAAATGCCTGTTCAGGCGGAACCTTCTGAGTTTCTTTTAGTTACATAAACGGAAGTCAGGCCGGCAGGGCCGACTGCTTTTTTTTTTTTTTTTTTTTAGAGAAGGTGTCAACAGTTTCTTTGCCTTGGAAATGCCTACGCTCCAGAGTCCTTAGTAAACAGAGTCAGGAGGGGATGGTGGCACATTCGCACCGCGGCCCCCAGCCCTCCAGGGAAGGGGCGGAGGACTCTGCTGTTATTGAAAGCAGAGCCTCTCGCCGACAGCGCGTGGCCTCCCTCAGGTCCCAGCGGGAAAGGCGGCCCCGGCCCCGAAGGTAACTCCGCGGGGAGGGCGGAGCCCGCTGGGGGCGGCCTGTCCACCGCGCCAGCCCCGGGTCCCGGCGGGGAGATGTCGGCCTCGGGCCCGGAAGGTGCCGTTCCCGCACGGCCCGGGGGATTCTTGGACAA